TTGAATCAAAGCATTTTGCGTTGGAGGTATATTCTCAATTGCCCTGTTTTTATGAAAAGGAAACGTCTACACTCGTTAACAGTACACAAGGATGATGTGGCATCATATAATAGAACCACAAATCTTTCCATAGTACGCAAAATATCTTCATCTGGATCTCTTCCCATAAGCAGTTGTTCAAAAGCCGAATTAACATTAGGATCTGCTATCCAAACCTTCCAAGCTCCTTTCTTGCCCACCCCACAGAATGATGACACAGTATCGCAACCTGTTATAGAATGAAATATTGATAGATATCTGCAAGTCTCCTGTGAAAGCTGGGAACATAAGCCATGGATGCTATTTAATCTTTGATGTTTCCCAGTTCCAAAATCGAATTTTTACGAGTAGATGAAAACACACAGCAGTTATTTAGCTTTTTGGTAAAACAGCTGACAAGCGAAACTTTTATTGGAAAAATAATAGTTTGTACGCTCGAAGAATCAGTAATATCTTCTTCAGCAGAATTGGATCTTTCAGATATTTTGCCATCGTGGCATCAAGAAGCAGATGGTCGCCTTCTTCTGCATTATAAACATGCAGTCGATAATGGCCACAACTGCGTCACCATTTGAACGGTGGATTCAGATGTTGTTGTCATTGCAGTGTCAACATTTTTTAAAATTAAAAACATTTAACAACTCTGGATTGATTTTGGAACTGGGAAATATCAAAAATTAATTGGCATCCATGGCTTATGTTCCCAGCTTTCACAGGAGACTTGCAGATATCTACCAATATTTCATTCTATAACAGGTTGCGATACTGTGTCATCATTCTGTGGGGTGGGCAAGAAAGGAGCTTGGAAGGTTTGGATAGCAGATCCTAATGTTAATTCGGCTTTTGAACAACTGCTTATGGGAAGACAGATGAAGATATTTTGCGTACTATGGAAAGATTTGTAGTTCTATTATATGATGCGACATCACCCTTGAGTACTGTTAACGAGTGTAGACGTTTCCTTTTGATAAAAAATAGGGCAATTGAGAATATACCTCCAACGCAAAATGCTTTGATTCAACATATCAAGCGAGCCAGTCTACAAGCTCTTATATGAACAACTGCTTGGAAAAAGACTTTCAAGCTCAATTGCCTGATAATTGGGGATGGCAAAAAACTAACGACGGATTTCTGCCATTGTGGTCTACCATTCCAGATGTTGTGAAAAGCTGTGAGCAACTAATCGCTTGTAGCTGCAAACAACGGTGTTCAGCATGTAAATGTGTAAAAAACGGTCTTCGGTGTACACACTTGTGTGCATGTGAAGGACATTGTTCTGAAAACGATTAATAGAGTGTATTAACTATAGACTTAAAATACAATATTTAAGTCTATGGTATTAACTTATTTTATTAAAATGTTATTTTTATTTAGAATGTTAACTTATTTTTAATGTTCAAGTCATTTTTATGCATATATACGTTTGATGAAATAAAATATTATGAACATAAATAGAAGTTCATATTTTAGTAAAAAGGTTGGTGCATAGGGGGTGTTGGCGAAGGGATATATAAAAGAAAAATTTTGAGGGGTTGTTTAGGGTAGCATCTAGTTGTAGATGTATCGTATTAAAATTTTAATATCATTACTAAATTTGTCGACCCCAAAAACCTATAAGTTGATATCAAACACGAAATTTCAGATAAAATGTCAAAATTTTGACATTTATATAACAAGATGGCCGCCATATAATTAAAAACAGTGAAAATATTTTCAAATAAGTTATTTTAGTATAAAAAGTAAAATTAAAATGGGTTTTTACAAAGAAAAAAAAAGTATTTATATCCCTAAAAGCCGTTTTTTGACCCCCACTTTAATGACGTCATACGGGTGGTGGGGGGCCCCAAAATTTTGGGGTCTGGGGCGTTTTTTGATGCTTGGTAGCTATGTACTATCCATATCCAAAAATTCAAATTCGCCGCCAGCACTGAAATATTTTTATGCTATCCGACCCCACTATAAAGGCGGCATCCCACGGCGCGTGTATCGGCAAGCCACGAGCAAGACTCGCCGATACACGTGTCGTGGGACCGGGCAGCTATGGGGCAGCTCGTCATTTTTGGCGCGGCTCGGACATACCCGCTTTCTGTCGGTAAACTTGACGATACTCAAAGGAAGGCGAGCCTCTTCGAGCTCGGCTCGTGTTGTGTTTAACCCGATCCAACGATCCTCGAAACGAGTACGGAGGTTCGGTTCAGTATCAGTGTCGTCTTGACTTTTGTTGCGAACGGTTGGAAGGATGACAGAAAAAATAATTATGGAGTGGTCCAACGACTTGGTGCTCGAGTTTTTATCTTTCTACGAAGATGAACCGGTGATATGGAACTCAAGGGACCCAGACCACAAAAATAGGAACCTGGTCTATAATGTGTGGAAACAAATTGAAGAACGTCCAACATGTTTACGATGACGGAATTAAAAAAAGGGATAGCCTAATGTACATACATTGCAAGTTAAAATAATAAAAGAAATTAAAATTATACATAGACAATAAATAAGTCAATCGCTATAATTTCTATATAAAGTGATTTAGTACAATCTACAGCCATATTATCTATATTTTCAATAAAACCATTTAACTTTTAAAAACATACCAACCAAATAGGTAATTTGTAACTACAAGTTAATAAGAACTGTTTAAATTTTGCATACGTAAAATTCTAAAAATTCTTCACTTTTTTACATACAGAAAAATGACAGATACAAAAAAATAAATAGGGCTAGTTTTCACCCCCCTCCCCCAGTATGCTATATCAAATTGTATTGAATTTGAAGGGGCAACCTATAAAAGTACTTACATATTGCGGCTTTTATACAAAGACACTCTCCACCAACGCCTTTTTTTTTGCCGTTGTTGCTGGTTCAAAAAATTACCCAACATGATGTAATAAGCGGCTGCAACACAAGCTGCATTTCGTCTTCGTCGATTATTCATGTTCATGTTGCAACACCACTGGCACGACTAAAAACTAAATTTGCCAAACCAACACGAGCCTGCTTCACGACCTTTCACGCGTCGTGGGATCGCATCCACTTGCCAAGCCCAGATTAACGAGCCAAGCCTAGGCGAGCCTAGACGAACTCAAGCCACGAGCCAGGATCGCCGATACACACGCCGTGGGATGCCGCCTTAACAATGTCGAACGCCGGCTCCTGTTAAGGCGGCATCCCATGGCGCGTGTATCGCCAAGCCACGAGCAAGACTCGCCGATACACGAGTCGTGGGACCGGGCAGCTATGGGGCAGCTCGTCATTTTTGGCGCAGCTTGGACGTACTCGCTTTCTGTCGGTAAACTTGACGATACTCAAAGGAAGGCGAGCCTCTTCGAGCTCGGCTCGTGTTGTGTTCAACCCGATCCAACGATCCTCAAAACGAGTACGGAGGTTCGGTTCAGTATCAGTATCGTCTTGACTTTTGCTGCGAACGGTTGGCAGGATAACGGAAAAAATAATTATGGAGTGGTCCAACGACTTGGTGCTCGAGTTTTTATCTTTCTACGAAGATGAACCGGTGATATGGAACTCAAGGGACCCAGACCACAAAAATAGGAACCTGGTCTATAATGTGTGGAAACAAATTGAAGAACGTCCAACATGTTTACGATGACGGAATTAAAAAAAAGGGATAGCCTAATGGCTTCTTTTCGAAAGCTTATACAAAAAGTTAAAGACACAACAAAAACTGGGTCTGAATCCCAGAATGTATTCAAACCTGATTGGTTTATATATTTTTATATATTATCTTTATTTTCAATAAAACCGTTTTAACTTTTAAAAACATACCAACCAAATAGGTAATTTGTAACTACAAGTTAATAAGAACTGTTTAAATTTTGCATACGTAAAATTCTAAAAATTCTTCACTTTTTTACATACACAAGAATGATAGATACAAAAAAATAAATAGGACTAGTTTTCACCCCCCTCCCCCATTCACCCCCTCCCCCAGTTATTCATGTTCATGTTGCAATACCACTGGCACGACTAAAAACTAAATTTGCCAAACCAACACGAGCCTTCTTCACGACCTTTCACTCGTCGTGGGATCGCATCCACTTGCCAAGCCCAGATTAACGAGCCAAGCCTAGGCGAGCCTAGACGAACTCAAGCCACGAGCCAGGATCGCCGATACACACGCCGTGGGATGCCGCCGTTAGAAAAGCTTTTAATTCAGTTTGGAAAAATGCATTTTATGTACTGAAAACAATGGTGCATTTTTGAGCATTTGCTAAAATAGCTTAAAGTGTATGTAATGATATTTGTTTTTTAAGTTTTAATTTGTTTAATGTAAGTTGAAAAGAAACGTTTAATGGTATTATGAAGTTTATAAGGTATAAATCATAATAGATAAGAATAAATACAGAATAAAAATACCAAGCCAATTAAATTAATGAAATAAAATGAAATGAAATAAAATAGCCAGAATAAAAATACTCGAAAAATACCATGTCATTTAAGTGAAATTAGTCAAGAAATATAAGAATTAAGTCATATTCGGAAATAACTTCGCAATTTTTCGAAAAAAACACATATTATATTTTATATCGCGGAAAAGCTTAAAAATTACGTTTTTCATGAAATCATGGACAACTATGGCTTCATTTAAAAAAACATATGTTTGAGTCATATGTCAAAAATGACAGACTTTAGGAAAAAACTGAGACTACAGTCTCTTAAGGATAAGGATGCGATTCTCTTCAACTTTCATCTGAAAACTTTTTGTCTAAAATAGATTATAATGGAACTGGGGAGCTTTATTAAAATAGTCGAAATTTTTTTTTTTCAAATATCTAGTAATCCATAAACTTCACATATGTTTGTCCTCACAAAACTGCAATTGTTTCCCCATTTAACCGATTCTCTAGCTCCACTAGTTTCCAATATACCCATAGAGAACGTCGTAGAAAACTCACCTTGTATATTATATTTCGGAATATGTACAAAATATATATTATTCATACCTTAGGTCTTTTGGTGCCATCCTGTATTGCTTTAGGTAGAAGATTAAACGGCAAATGGGTTTTAATACATACAGGACTTTTTTGGTTTTGTACAAATTTTAAAGAGTCGTTCAAAAATGGTGGAACATCGAATCCTTCAACATCTCTCATAAGGTCCCTGTAGTCAAACAAAGCTGACACTCTAAAATAATATATTTATATAAAAAAATTCAAATTAAAACTTAAAGAATATTTACTCCAAAAATGGAGAACGTGCACCCAAATTGACCTGACCACCCTCAAAATCAAGATCGTTTAATATCATCCATACCATTTCTTGTGTCCAGGTAGTTCCTAAAAAATATTAAGCATTCTGATGATGAAGAAAACAAGAAAAATATATCCTAATAACAATCACATTGGAACAATAAGCAATAAACTTTCAATGTCATAAAATTTTTCGAATCATTGTAGAGTATACAGGGTTATTCACGCTATTCGACGGTGAGTATTGTAGTTAAAGTTAAATGAACAGATTTTTATAAATAGTTGTAAATGTTCGGTCGTTAAAGGGCTAGTAGAGCTACAACTCAGCATTATTTTCAAACGATACAAAGTGTCCCAAAAAAACAAAAATTATAAAAGATGTATTTTTGGTTTACCTCGCTTAAATCTAAGCGTTTTTGAAAAACTCGTATTAGCAATTTTGTGAAAATTCTATAATTCTAATGCCTTAATGTCTCTAAATTATTTATGTTTTTAAAACAACGTATGCCCAGTAGTTTATTTCAATTACTAAATATTGTGTTGCTATAATATATATATATATATATATATATATATATATATATATATATATATATATATATATATATATATATATATATATATATATATATATATATAATACAAGCTTATACAGTGTATCTAAAAATTAATTCTAAATAATTACTAGTTTTAAACCGCATATAACATAAAACACATTTATTTATTAGCAAGCATAAAACACACATTTATTTATTATTATTTATCGTTATCGGTATACCCATGGAATCTTATTAGTTCAAGAAAATATGCCTTCAAATACAAAGTTTTGATAAAAATTTGTGTTATGAATGTGTGATATGAGTAACTGTGAAAAATCTAAAAACGAATTGTGAAAGATTTTTTTTTAAATTCACCCCCGGAGAAGGGGTGAAATAAATAAAAAAAATATTTTTCAAAATTTCGGAGAAACGGTTAGGAAAAGGAAACTAGAAAAAAATTCAAATTTTACATAGAAATGATCTTTATACTTTTTTTGCTCAGATCAAAATTAACCGAGATAGGGTGGCTAGAAGCTATACAGGGTGCTACAAATTCGAGGTACGAGCATTGGTATCTCGGTAACCACAACAGATACGAACATGGTTAAATTGGGGCAAAGTTGCCCCCGCTTTGGGATCTTCACCAAGATGCTATCAAAAAAGTTTTAAAAATTTCAAGGATTACTGAGTTTTTTGGAGAAAACGGATTTTTTTGAAAATTATTTTTATTTTTTCCTGCCGTTACTTTTAAGAAAATCAAAAAACTAATTGCACATTCTCATAGCCACTTTATAAGGGCTATCTGATAGTATTTTTAGATTTTCAAATTAGCTGATAATTTGTGAGATACAGAGGCCAATTTAATTTTTTTAAATACGGACCCGCATTTTTTATTTCAGATTTTGAAAGAACTCGGTCTCCTGAGTAAAGTGATATGCCACACTTAATATTTTTTTTTGTTTCGGACATTTAAACACAATTTATTCAAACTAATTTCAAGTCCGGCTCTGTTTTTTTTTTATTTTTAATCTATTCATCGTTACAATATTGATAAGCTTTCAAACTTGACAATGACGTAAAACAGGTAAAACATTGAATATGGAAAATCAAATGCAATAAAATAATATACAAATGAATACATTACTTCACGTCATTTGTAAAAGTGAAATCAATACATATCAACATTTACAATAAAGAGTACAAAATGCATTCCGAAATATAAGAAGAAAATTCAGAGAGCTATAAATAAAATTGAACGAAAAATAAATTTGTGCAACACGGAGGGTGGTAACCCTTTCGAACATGTCGAGCATTAGAAACTAGTTTGTAGAAGTTGATTTATTTATAATAACTACGATTAATATTACGCATATTATTAAATCGCACATTGATATTTCAAATTAACAATAAAAAAAATAAAAATAATATCTTTAAATTGCTGACCTGGATATAATTTATTTGAATTCCAATTGGCTTGATTTTCCTTATTCAATATTAATTAGCGCTAATTAATATTGTTGCGATGAATATAATCAGATTAAATAATTTTAAAAGCCAGAGTTGGACTTGGAAATTATTTTAAATTATAATTAAATAGTTTTTTGTTGTTGTTAAGGTACCCAAAACAAAAAAAAGTATAAAGTGTGGCATATCATTGTACTCAGGAGACCGAGTTCTTTCAAAATCTGAAATAAAAAATGCAGGTCCTTATTTAAAAAAATTAAATTGGCCTCTGTATCTCACAAGTTATCAGATAATTTGAAAATCTAAGAATACTATCAGATAGCCCTAATAAAGTGGCTATAAGAATGTGCAATTAGTTTTTTGATTTTATTAAAGGTAACGACAGGAAAAAATAAAATTCATTTTCAAAAAAATCCGTTTTTTCCAAAAAACTCAGCAATCCCTGAAATTTTTAAAACTTTTTTGATGGCATCTTGGTGAACATCCCAAAGCGGCAACTTTGCCCCAATTTAACCATGTTCGTATCTATTATGGTTACCGAGATACCAATGCTCGCACCTCGAATTTGTAGCACCCTGTATAGGATGAAAGTAGAAGTTGCTGGAAAATTCGTATATTTAACAATTTTATTAAATTTGCTTGTAAAATTATAAATTTCAATTAAAATGATGGTGAAAAATATAAATAAAGAGTTATTTTTAATATCGGAGAAACGGTAAGAACTTTGAAAAAACTTGTTTCAATAAAAGCTGTCCCCTAGCTTCCAGACACCCTATCTCGGTTAATTTTGATTTGAGCAAAAAAAGCATAGAGACCATTTTTACGTGAAGTTGGACGCTCTACAACTTTTTTTTTCTAGTCCTTAACGTTTCTCCAAAATTTCGAAAAAATGATTATATTTATTTATTTCACCCCTCGGGGGTAAATTAAACAAAAAATACTATTCGTTTTTCGATTTTTCAAAGTAACTTATATCAAAAATTTAAGTTTTTACCAAAATTTCGTATGTGAAGGCCTATTTTCTTGAACTATTATATTGTTAGCCTATTTCTTTAAATTAAAACTTTTGAGATATTTGAAAAAGAAAAGAAATGAAATATGATCCAATTATTCTCTTAGGTGAGATTATTCCTGTCGAAATATTAATTGATTACTTGCGCTAATTGATTTTGAATTCTGCATGAGTGTATAAGCAACGGTATAAGCCCACGGCCACACAGAAAGCGTTTTTAGCGTTTTGCGTTTTTTGCGTCTCCAGCGCTTTTTGCGATTTTACCGTTTTAAGCGCTTTTTTCGATTTGTGTCCATTAAAAACACGCAAAAGACGCGACAGGTCTGCAGTTTCTATCAAGATGTTAATTATAACGTCGCAAGCTAGTGGATTCCCGGCCCGTCCAACAATCAATCCTGTGAGAAAGAGATAGGCGAGATCGGCGCCGTTAGCGTTGAAGAGACGAAGATAGAAAATGCTGGGATTGAATTGTGGACGGGCCGGGGCATATATTCGGAGACAAACACAATCTACTGCTAGTGCCAGTGGTGTGTGTAAAATTAATTATTATTATTTGCCATTTATTTTACAAATTTTAGTTTATTTGTTTATAGCTTTTTTACGTTGTAGTGTTGTACTTTACGTTAATACTTGTTATAATTATAATATAATATAATAAATAATTATAATTATATAATAGAATAGTAAACATTTCTAGTTGCTAATGCAATTTTAGGACATGATTTATGAAACATTTTGGAGTGAAACTTCTTTACGCGCGCTGGGAGTAAAAATTCAAGGCCGTGACCTCGGCCGTGACATACGAGCTAGTGAGACGGCCCTGACACACGAGTTCGTTGTAACGAAACGTGTTAACGGCTTAGAAATACGTAGTGACGCGACGTGTATTTGTGAGCAGTCCACGTGTTTATCAAAAATATTGATATTTTAATACAAATTTTGTAAAAGCGAATCAAATTATTTCGTGTAAAAGCATTTGTTACACGTAAAAAACTATTTTTATTATTTTACGCGAATAAAACTGTTACACCTAAAAAACTATTTTTTACGCGTATAAAACTATTTGTAACTGGTAGAAAACTATTTTTACGCGTATAAAACTATTTCTTACTGGTAGAAAACTATTTTTACGCGTATAAAACTATTTGATGCGTGTAAAAATCTATTTGTTACACCTAAAAAACTCCTTTTTTACGCGTCAAAAACTTATTGTTTCTGGTAGAAAACCTTTCTTACGCAAAAAAAATTACGTGTAAAAAACTATTTGTTACACGTAAAAAAACTAATTTTTACGCGTCAAAAACTTATTGTTTCTAGTAAAAACGCTTTTACCCCAAAAAAAAATATTTTTTACGTGTAAAAAAACTATTTGTTACAAGTAAAAAACTATTTTATATTAAATTCTCCAATGGCGTAGCATCAGAAATTAGCTTGTACCTAGACGGTACAAAATATTTATTAAAACGTAAACTAATTTATCGTTCATTTTTGAGTAATGCATATACAATTTTGTATTTTATACTCTCACCTTTATAATATTAGAATATCTAAGTCGATAATGCAAAATTTATTTAACCGTCACAGTGGATAGATTATCAAGACAATTATTTATTTATTAACGTGTGTATAATGTATAATTAAATGAAAAATAATGTAATAACATATGTTTTAAACGTGTATATACATATATACTGTATGATCGAAAAAAACGGCGTCTTGTTTGTTTGGAAATGGCAATTTCACAAATGAATATTAAAAATTACATTATTCATTGAATCCGTAAGCGAGTGTGAAGGGAATTGACTAGATTCATTATTGTACCGTATAATCGAAAAAAACGACGTCTAGTTGGCTTGTAAATTACGATCGATGATATTCCCCATATAATTCTACATATAAAGTGACATAAAAACTATACAAAACGACATCGAAAAAAGACGGCGTCAGCGATAGCTATGAAATGAAGATCGCTGTCATTTTATATGTAAAATTATATGGGAAATGTCGTCGATCGTCATTTACAAGCCAACTGGACGTGGTTTTTTTTTCGACCATACGGTATAATAATGAAT